AAAGCTTCGAAATGTGGTGTTGGAGAAGGATGGAGAAGATCAGTTGGACCGATTATGTGAGAAATGAAGAAGTGTTATTTAGAGTCAGTGAGCAGAGGAATATCCTACACGAAACAAGAAAATGGAAGGCTAATTGGATTGGTCATATCTTACGCAGTAACTGCCTTCTAAAAGAAGTTATTGAAGGAAAGATAGAGGGGCAGATAGAAGTGACCAGAAGACGTAAGAAGATGCTGGATGACCTTGGGGCAGAAGAGGATATTCTCATTTGAAGGAGAAAGCTCTAGATCACATTAAGTGGAGGAACTGTTTTGGAAGAGACTGTGGACCTGTCGTCTGACAGATTACTGATGAATGAATGAATGAGACCAAATCCATGTGAACAGAACTCAAATCATTGTCTTGTGTTGATTCGTTTAAAGATAATATATTAGTCCATAATGTATTGTGTTCTGTGTTAAGAAACATTGCTATAGACAATCTGTCTAACTGTGTTAGTATGTGGCTGCAATCTTATTCAGTTATAATACAGTATAATTTCAGATCTGAAAATGTATGGATTTAATAACTTTAATTATATTTAGTGTGTGTGCACAGCCTCAACACACATACGCACCATAGTTACTGCATCTCTCATAGGTCTGCATGCTTTCTTAGACTATAGATGCAGGTGAGCTGTCAGTTGTATGCTTCAGATAATATTTAATATTTGTGTAGAGTAGGTCCTTTGTCACCATGGCATGGCATGTTCTGAGGTTACAGATGGAGGAAATGGTCTCCAAATGTGAAAGGTAGCTATAAGCAGGTAGAGCAGCCAACAAGGGGTGTTCCTCCTGTTTGGGGACTGGGCAGGGGATGACAGCTCATTATAAAAGTTGAGCATGTTACAAATTGTTACATAGGACATATTCTTTAAGATTTTTTTCCCTTGGCACTACAGCCCCAGTGGGCATAGGCCTACCTCCATGAACTCCGTTCACTTCGGGTTTTCTAGATCTTACACAGACGGTAGAACTCCTTGGGTGAGTGATCAGCTCGTCGCAAGGCCTCTACCTGTAGACAAACACAGAAAAACGCACACAAACATCCATGCCCTGAGTGGGATTCGAACCCACGATCCCGGCTTCCGAGCGAGCGAAGACAGTGCATGCCTTAGACCGCTCGGCTACTGTGACCGGCATTCTTTAAGATACCCTTTAGTATTATGCCTACATCTACATCTAGGTTTTCAAATGTATGTAAGATAATACTTATGCAGATGTTACTATTACTGTGGGCCAAAGGAAATTGAGAGAATTACCAGCAGAAAGTTGCAGACTGGAATGGCAATCCAAAAGAACCACGGGTGTTCACACACACTGCTTGATTCAGATGGTTATGTTGCCAGTGGCATGCATCACAACTAATTGTTATGAGCTTCTAAAACTCAGAGATATAAATCACATCATATTATACAACAGTTTATTTACACCACCAGCAGGGTGGACTAACACGAAACTCAGCTCATGTACGTATGTAGAACTTGGGCTTTTGGAAATAAACCATGTAGAATATTGAAGGTTTTTTGTTTCGGGAGGCGGCTCAATATTGCAACTAGGCTTTGGGCTGGATGAACCAGGTGTCAGGATTCAATTCTTTGTAGTGCCAAGAGATTTTTCTCTTCTCCATAATGTCAAGACAAACTTTGGTACCTACCCAGCCTCCATCCAGTGTGTTCTGAGGGCAGTTTCTTTGGGGGTAATGCAACAGGGGTGTGAAGTTGATGACTTACCTCCTTCTAGTGCTGAGATTAAGAATGGTGGAGTTACATCTCATCTCTGCCAACTGTGTTAATGGTGCTCTGCTTAATTAAGCACAGGGATAACTTCATGTTTATCTTACCTTTGGCAGTCACTGCAGCTGTCATCTTCCAGGGTTGATGTCTATGGGAGGGATTTAAATCTGGCAGTGGGTGGTGCATGGGTGATGGAGGCATGACTGGACAAAACAAAGGACCAGGATGCTACATAATAAAGAGTGAGTTTTTCTGTAACCTTTTCTATTGTTTCTTTTCCTTTGTGTAAACACAGGTTACTAAACTTTTTGCATCACCACATGGTCAATCCCTGCCAGATAACAGCCAGGTCCTCTGTGTTGTCCTGTCACATCCTCACCTCTCCCGCACCACATACTGCTGGATCTGTATGAGAACTTCTGAATCACCACAGAGACATCTACCCTGAAGATGACAACTACACTGTTCATCAAACAGAAGGGAAAAGTTTGGCGTTCTGAATGCCTTATTCCCAAAAGCCAAAATCATTATATGAAACTGAAGCTGTGGAAACCTGAGGATATGAATTTGAAGTAAAAGTCAAAGTTTTTATGTAGCACATACAGCATATAATAATTTTCTGCTTGTCAGCAAATGTCTTTTTTACTGTCCATGGAGTCTGTGCCATATATTTGGTGGTTGGTTCCTAGCTTCTTACCACAAAGGTCTGGATTCATTCCCAGGGCAGTCTGTTTGGGATCTGTGATATCAGAGTGGCACTGTAGCAGGATTTTATGTGAATGCTTCAGTTTTCCTCTGCTAAGTATCATTCTGCCAGCAGCATACTCATCTGTCATCATGGGTCAGTACAGTAGGCACATTGTGGCTGCAGCACCAGGGGATTCTCATCTCGTGCCACCCCTGTGGGTATTGTGTGTGGACAAATAAACAAGTGTAAATCTATTTGTTGAGCCCTGCAAACTTTGTAAAAGCTGTACACTTATAGTCACTCTGAACCAGACATCTGCTCTTTTTTACATTTTAGCCTTTTGTTATCTTCATTTTATCTGCACGAATCAGTAATGGCTGCTTTCATTATAAATAATATGTACACAAAATTAGTTTTTATTATTTTTGTGGTATGTTTATTGGTGCTGTCTATAGCTCAGACTGTATAGTGTTCAGTGGTAGGATGATAATGAATCATAATGAATTGCAAAGGATGTGGAAGGAAGTGGTCATGTCCTAATGTTAGTTTCTGAATGTAGATTTCCCAAGAAAACGTAAAATCGTAAAAACTGAAAATGACAGCTTTCAGTCATCACTTTAATGAATTCTGTATTAGTAGAATTCAAATTTAAGTATGATAATTCCTTCAGATTGTGACGTTCTGGGTTGTGACACCATGTAGACATGTATGTGGATTCCGACGTTTTGGAGGAATGTGCTGCCTCCATCTTCAGGGTCAACCCTGAAGACCACAATCTCAACAGTCAACACTATGAGAAAACTCAAAACTTACAATACCTTGTTCAGCTGAACCATTCAGCTGTGCATACATAAACCAGGAAATCAACTTTAACACACTGCAGTTGTATGGAAGCATTCAGTGTTATATTAAGGCTTATGCAGTGTCTAACCAGCATGTCATGAAAGCCTGTGGTTTTCCTCATTCCATCAAGGGAAATGCTAACACAGTATCTTAATGAAGGCCACATCCACTTCCTTTGACATCCTTTCCAATTCATTATTCACTAATCATCCTACCATTCAACATTAAATAGTCTGAGCATGTGGCAGTATCATTAAATGAAACAAATAAATATTGACATAGAGGTATAATGTACGAGTAATTAGCTTTAACTCGCAACATTTGGCAAGGAAGAATTCGTAAATTTACACTGTGAAAAGGCAAATACATTTAGAGCAGATGTAGCATATTTGCAAGATATCATGCTTTTAGTGCCAAAAGAAGTAGTGATCCCTGCTTTTTGATTTTCACTGACACTGTAAGTGCTGATAGTAGCTGGAGCTATCTTGACATGTTGGCTTTACTGTAGCAGGCATTTGATTCTGCTAACAGGTCACCAAGCCCAAGTGCAAGTCCACAATCCAGTCCACGTCCATCCCCACGGCAGCATCACAAGCGAGACCATTCCAAAGGGGAAATATCTGTTGGAAGTTGCAAAGACTGCTCTCCCCCGGATAGATATGATACAGTAGAGGTCAGTAGCTTCAAGTCTGTTATAACAGAGGTCAGTGGGTGGGTGCTGAAACGGCTTGACTGCAGTGAAGAACAGGGAATCAGGTATTTAAATTGTATATTTTTTTTAAGAAAAGGAAAGTGTAAAGTTTGCAGACATTTAAGAAAAACAACTTTGAATCTGTAATATTAGAAAGAACTAGTGGAATAACCATTGAAAATTCAACAGGAAAATTTGACAGTTCCCATCTGTAGCTACAGTTTTCATGGATAACCTTACCTTTGATCCACTCTTATGTATTGTAACCCTTAAAGCTACTCTGGAATCACACTTTGACTGATTATGCACACTGTGAACTTGGGTTTTGGAAAGACTGTTTCATAGAGTAAGCATAATTATGTTCATTTGTTTTGTCTTATGAATTTATTTCAGTTTTCAAACAATTGTGTCCACCTGTTTAACTAATCTGTCATTAACTGTATTCTGTCTACCAGTAGATTACAATATGAAAACAGTGCAACTGAACCTGTTTCTGGTTTCGTTACCTGCAGTTTGTTGCTGCTTGATTCTTCTAGGTGACTTGACTTGTAGTTGTTTTACCATCTACTTATCTTATCTCTAAATGACACAAGATAAGAACTTGCATAATTAGAATGCACTTAACTGGGAGTACAAGTGGGACATACATGTGTTTCCTGAATTTATGAGTGGGAACAGGGCTTAGTTCTGTTGTTCAGTATATCCACATGGTTGGAATGACACATTGATGTGCAGTACTGTATACATGAGAGAGGTAATGAAATGTTATATGACTGATGAAATGGAATCAGTTCTTAACTATTACAGGGGTTGTAATCAGGTATGTTAAATAATTTTCTCTAGATATTTTGTATCATTTAAATTTTTTTAATAGTTTAAAAAAGTAAGGACACACATCTCATTCATCTGAATACAGAAAATATGAGTATATCAGAGATCTCTGATTCACTTCTCAAGAGAATATATTAAAAGATCTTTCATGCATTGCTGAAGTAAATTGTTTTTTTGTCATTCGCTTTTTACCCTGACTGTACAAGAACATTTTATAGCTTGCTTTAGCGTGCGGAGTCCATAAAGCTATTTAGGATCCAGCTATCAGTGTACAGCCTGATGTAGACCTGTAGCAGTGTGTAAAATTGCACTTTTTGCTGACAGGCAGAGATTGGATGCATGGGTCACATAAATTTATGTATTTTTTAGGTGGTCACAGTATCACAAAATTTGAGAACCTCTTCACTAATTGCATTTGATCTATTGGTAGAATATGAAAACAGTTGTAGGATTTGAGGTTCTCACAGCAGTGGTTATGAAGAGTGCTGTCTTCTGAGATATAACGCTGTGTGGTCCATTGAAAGTCAAGTGATGTTTCGGAAGAAGCTTGCCACCTGCTTTCATGCTGGCATCTTGCTTTGCTTTTTAAATGCTGAAGATGTGATATATGTTCCTGCGAAACATTAGTTGACTTTCATTGAACTACATTCCAGAAGCTAGTACTCCTCATCAAAAAAGAATTGTTTCTTGTTTCAAATGGAGGCGTGCGAATCATATCAGCACACTAAAACCATAACAGAATAGCAGGTATTCATAATCCTTGGTTGCAGAATATTCTGTGGTGTGTGTCCTTGACTGACATGAGCATAAGAAGCAGTGAGAGGTGTAATCAGACCGTTTGTTCTTCGTTGTGTCATCCAGAGCATATAGCTGTTTTATTGCTACTTGCTTACTCTATTGTGGGAGTATACAGTTTAAAGAAAATGACAAGTGTAAGACTGCTTGAACGGGTTTTGTTAGGAAGTCTTACATATCTAGCGATGTATATATACACTCTCATATGTATGAAGCCATTTTTAATTATGTGGTACCTGATATGTGTGTGATAATGCTGTGCAAGTGTTCTCTCAAAGTATGTACTGTTTCTTATACCTGAGAAGAATGGACAGTGTGATTTTTTCCGTTGTACTTTAGTGTTTCTAGTGTTTCAGATTTAAAATAATTTTTTCTTTAAGTACTTAACAAGTGCTGTTAGGAGCAGTGTTATGTTGGCAACTCTCAAATACTGAAATATAATGTTAGAGTTGGCAACATCATAGTAAACAATTTAAGAACTAGGTTATTTCTTGTTACTTAGGTGATATTTACTGTTATGTGTAACTACAGTTACGTGTGTAACAACAGTATCTTTATATTGTTGTGTTGCTATGGTTATAAGTTTGTATGTATATAAGGCATACTTCTGTGTCAAATTTCTGTGTCTTAATAAAGCAGGAGTAGAGTGAACACTGATTCTTACTTATCGTTCGATCTACGGGAAACTGAAAATAACAAGCAGAACATTTGAAAGCCTTTGCTCTTGTCCATACTGAGAGACATGACACAGTGTTCTTGCCCCTTTGGAATTTCATCTATGAAGGGAGGAAGAATGAATATTAATTTAAGGGAGAAAGTTAACATTAACAGAATTAGGCTTGTGATATATGGGCAGGAGCTGAACAAGACACTACATGAAATGGTGATTTTCATTAGTGCTACTTTATCCAAATCTTAGTTAAGCATTCATAATATATTGTAACGTGTTTCGTTACAGAATATGCCGTAGAGATGGTTAATTGGTTTATTTAACAATCTTCAAATAACGGCTACAATTAATGATAACAATGTTACGGGTTTCCACACTTTACAAACCCTAGAACAAAATCTCTTAACACTCTCTTCGAGAGTCTTCACGTACTAATAATGTGGGAGCTATACAAGTCTCCCTGAATTACACTCTCCAGATATGACTGGTGATCACTGGTTATCGCACACGCGGCTGTAGCTCGTTGATAACGCACTCGACGACTGTCACAGTACAACTGAACCTGAATAGCCTTCGCTGCTCCTTATGTAGCCTCGATCGGACAGTCGTCGCCTGGTGCCTTGTTGCTAGCCACGCTGTCCGGAGTTGTTGACGGCTGCCTAGTAACCGCGATATCCCCCGGTGACGTCACCGCGTTGACTTGCGTTGCCTAGCGACCAGGATGCTAGGACTCGGCTAACATCGGCTCGCTTCGGCTTCGCTCGGCGCATCACGGCTGGCGGAGGGTGGGAGGGGGAGGGGCGTCATTCAGAGCTCAACATGTCACAATATTAACTGTTGAGTGTCGATTATCTCATCCCACTAATCTTCATTGACACAGCTGGGAGTACTTGAACTTGAAAGCATTCTGACGATAGTATATGCCGTACAGAACTGTCAGGCTTATTTTGGACTCTATCCATAATCTGGTATATATAAGACAAAAAACCACAACGTTTTGGAGACAGATCCAGTCTCTGAAACGTGGTTTTTTGTCTTATATATATCAGATTATGGATAGAGTCCAAAATAAGCCTAATAATTCTGTACAGTAGTTGAACTGTCACAAATTTATTTGTGTACTAGCTGTGCCCGGCCATGCCTTGCTGTGGCTCAGTCTGCCCATTCTTCCCCAGTTTGATTTGAAATTACTCGACGCATTGCTTCCGCTCCGTGAGTACGACGACCTAAGTTTGATCTTCTGTGAGGCATTATTTGGATGAACTAAAGCAGATCGATTGCACTGAAGAAGAAGAAAGAAAGTTATAAGAAAAAACATGAAAATTCAAAACATTAAAAAAGGAAGGAACACGAACTGGAAAACAAAGAAGAAACAAAAAAAAATACTGATGAAATATTTCAATTCAAACGCAGATCAATCGACACAGCCCAATCCCACCGCCAATTGCACCGGAAAATAAGGGGAACAGTAAAGAAAACGAAATGAAAAACAATGAAAAATAAACTATACTCATGAAATGAACGCTATGGTAAACGACACAGCCCAATTCCAACGCAATGTAACACGAAATAATTAAAAAAAAATGAAAATAAATCGAAACTGTTTCTGCTTTGATTTCACTCGGAATCTCTTGTGATACTCGCGTTTCCATGGAAGTATACTTTCTGGTTTCATCCGTTGTTACACAATGGAACCTATTATCCTATGCAACGGTCTATTCTAGCATTAATATGGAAACGACTGCACTGAAGAAGAAGAAAGAAAGTTATAACAAAAACATATGAAATTGCAAAGCATTAAAAAAAAGAAAGAACACGAACTGGAAAACGAAGAAACTCGACGCATTGCTTCCGCTCCGCGAGTATGACGACCTAAGTTTAATCTTCTGCGAGGCATTATTTGGATGAACTAAAGCAGATCGATTGCACCGAAGAAGAAGAAGAAGAAAGAAAGTTATAAGAAAAAACATGAAAATTCAAAACATTAAAACAGGAAGGAACACGAACTGGAAAACAAAGAAGAAACAAAGAAAAATAAAAAATACTGACGAAATATTTCAATTCAAACGCAGATCTATCGACACAGCCTAATCCCACCACCAATTGCACCAGAAAATAAGGGAACAGTTAAGAAAACGAAATGAAATATAACAAAAAATAAACTACTCACAAAATGAACGCTACGGTAAACGACTCAATGTAACACGAAATAATAAAATCAAAACGAAAATTTCGTTGCCACAACAGCTAATTGCCACGGTTATTCCTAGGCAGCGATCCGCTGTTTCAACAGTTCGTTGCCATGGTTATTCCTAGGCAACGACCCGCTGTTTCAACAGTTCGTTGCCACGGTTATTCCTAGGCAACAATCTGTTGGTATTCGATGGACAACGTATAACACGTTTTTTACCTGTTTTTACCTGTCACGGGTGTGACATCTACGTAATAGGTATGTAAAAACGCGCGTGTTCGAATGCAACGTTGTATCAAAATTTCCAAGCAATCAGGGAAGAACTTTCGGAGATCTTCGAGGAGAGACAAACAGACATTTACATTTTTATTTATATAAATTACTGCATCTTGTATCAGAACTTCACCTCAAACACAGACACCCCTGCTTGCACAGAATTATCATCCATATCCCTCTTAATATCCTGTCTGGTTAGTTCACTTCAGTTCACTTCAGTGGAACTTGATGGGATCCCCAAGAAGGTTGTGACTGGCCAACCACATTTTACACCCACATATTCTGCCCCAAACCTGCATAGTGCATCACTCTGTTCAGAGCAAGGAGGTCTTCCACTGAGGGAAAGAACCTTTGCTTATCCATGCAAGTTGGAATTGAAAGTTGCATGTCTTCAGTTAAGGACTATGCCATGAAGACATATGAGGGAGTGGAGTTACTAATCCATATATTCTAAATCTTGGCAGTAGGTGCATGTCAGTGGTCAGTTTTCACATCCTGATTGATTTACCCTGCAAAAGAGCCACTGCTACCCATTGGATAGGAGGCTGGGTGGAGCCCAGTGTCTTGCTGGTTACCATTTGGAAAACAGTAATCAAACACATATTCCTCAGTTTTACAACTCATGTCTAGTCAATATACTGACTGAACTATTCTGGCTGCTATGCAGATTGGAAGTGAGTTATGGAAAGTTTGATGAAAAATATGCAACTGTAAACATTGCTTTCAAAATGCAATCAAGGAGAGTTAAAAGAGGGAATATGTGAAGCAAAATTAAATGTTTGAGTCACCTCCAGTTACTTGGATCCCCTTGAATACACACCACTGAGTGAAGAAATGATAACAATTTCATCTTGAAATTTGGTATTAGCAACTGTCAGAATATAGCAGTGATAAATGTTTTGGCTCCACAGGACAGTCTGAGTCGGTCGTCTGGCTCGAGTCACATTCATGAGTTGAGCCGAAGCATAAGCCATGAGGGTCCCAGCAAGGAACGTGCCAAGGAATCAGCTCGTAGTTCTGACCGCACCAAGAAGAAGTCATCATGGTATAATGTTTTGTATCCAACGTATAAATCACGGAGTGAGGACTTCAAGAGAATTTTCAAGGATGTTCCACTAGACGAAAGACTTATTGTAGGTAAGTGATTTTTTTTTAAAGATTTGAAGTTAAAAACCAAATTCAGGCAACTCTCTTTGTGGGCTAGCCAACAGGTCTCCCTTCATGCTTCAAAGGATGACTCTTTCAGATGTAAGTCATCAGGAAGAAGCCTGATCATCCTCTTTTATCTCCCTTTTCCTATTATTCTTTTCCGTCTTCTCCATTATTTGTTACTTCACTTTCTTTTTTCTTTCTTCAGTTTTATTTACTTTCCATGTAATTAAATCTCATCATCATGTATATTTGTACTTGTTGTCTCTCAGTTTATTTGTCTTTTGCAGATTATTCATGTGCTTTACAAAAGGATATTCTGGTCCATGGGAGACTGTATGCCTCACAAAACTACCTCTGTTTTTATGCTAACATCTTCCGTTGGGAAACATTAGTAAGTCAGAGAGATGTGTTACTTTTTTTATATATATATAATCTGTCTGTGTATATACATGTATGTAAATGTGTGAGATTTATGATGATATTCATTTTGCAGTTTTGGATTAACCAAAGCAATGAATTACCAAACATTAACACACTGCATGGACACAAGTTATGTAAAGGATCACAAAAGAGTCTTGCATTCAGTGTATCCTCTATATTTTGTGACTTTTGATAATATTTTGATGTGAATGTGTGAAGTTTAGTATACAAGGCTAATATAAATGATTCGTTCGTTTTTAAAACGCTATATTTTCCAAAGTATTACATGTACAAATATTATTGATATATAAAAAGAACCGTAAACTCACCAAGTTGTATTATGTGCACCAGTTGGCAGCATGAGTTCAGTGCCTTTACAAAATGGCGGCAAAGCAAGAAAAGAGTTTTTGTGTTGGAATATGCGAGATGTTCGTCTGTTATAGCAGTGCAACGCACATTCAAAAGAGAGTACAGAAACTAGCTGCCATGTAAACAAAGCATTTTGCGGTGGTATCAGCAATGTTCATCACTACCGAAACAATGAACTTCGGCGTCGCTGGATTGGGCGTGTTAGTGAGGATGACATGGTTCTGATCACTTGGCCCCCCCAGATCACCTGATCTAACGCCTTGTGACTTCTTCCTTTGGGGGTACATTAAGGATCATGTTTGCGTATGCCCACTGCCAAGATCACTAGTAGAGCTGAGGGAACACATCGATGCTGCAGTGATGACCATTGACAGGATGATGCTACAAAATGTGTGGAACGAGCTTGACTACCGCCTGGACATATGTCATGTGACCCAAGGGGCACACATAGAACATTTGTAGAGTGTGAAGAAAACTTGGTGAGTTTACAGTTCTTTTTATATATCAATCATATTTGTACGTGTATTGTTTTTGAAAATATAGCGTTTTAAAAATGAATGAATCTTTATAGTAGCCGTGTATTAGTAGAAGTAGTTCACAGTTGACTGTTTGTGTGTGTTATTTGTGGGAGATGGCATTAAACATTGGCCTCATCTTGTCATTCGTTAACATGTAGGACTGGAAAGGTATATAGGAGAAAGCAGGGACATTGAAACTGTAGGAGCTTACATAGGAAATGATGAGACTTCTCACTGAATTCTCAGTGGGTGTTGTACTAGTTCCTCTCTGCTAAAAGAAACCTCACAGATATATGTACATTCAGAGGAATTAATCTTATATAAGTTGTTGTTGTTCCATGTTTTCTCAAGTAATAATTCCCAAACTCTTTTAGTCAGAAGTAAATAAAAAGTTTGAGTTCTCCTCCCCCCCCCAACATATAAAAAGAACTTAAAGAGGAATTAACAGCTTCAGAAAGTTATTGTTAATAAACCTTCATGATATGTATATGGTATTATTTTCAATTAATCTGAATGCTTGTAATTTAATGTGGCTTCTTAGAATTAAAATTAAGTCAGCTTCTTTGTTATCAACCCACTTTTGGGCGTTCCTCAGAAAAGCTACACAGCCCCTTGGGGAATGCTGCTCAGTAGAGTGTAACTAAATGGAAGCAAAAAGCTAAGTTAGGAAGAGATTAAGGTCATAAACTTTTAAGTTGTTCATATTAATGCCTTACAAAAGTTTGATGATCTCAACGCTTGACCCATTTTCCAGTACAGGCATACGTGCACACACACATGGATGTGCAAATTTTTCAGTAATGAATCATGTTTTTGGAACTGGATTGTATTTACATGCTGCACCAGAGAAAATATAAAAAAGTGCATTGAAATCAGTAGTTTGGCATTCATTAAATTGTTAACATGCAAATTTGTTTATATCTAGTCAGTTTTGTCTTGAAGTCTGGATCTGCCCTACATTATGTAGTTTACACATCCCTGTTTTAATACTTGCCCACAATGAGGGATACGAAAGTTTGATTGTAGTTTAAGGTGTGTGTGTGTGTGTGTGTGTGTGTGTATATGAAGGGCTGTTACGGCTGCTACATGTGAGCTCTGTTGATGCCTCACTAAAAGAAAGGTGTATTTCTTCTCCCACCCCTTCCCTCACCAGGTGTCATTGAGGTGGAAAGATGTCACTGCAATAACCAAAGAAAAGACAGCTTTAGTTATACCAAATGCAATATTGGTGTGCACAGAAGGCGAGAAGCTTTTCTTCACTTCATTTGGTGCGAGGGATAAGACATACCTTATGCTGTTCAGGGTCTGGCAGAATGCATTGATGGATAAGGTAGGTTCTCAGACTTCTTGTAGTTTAGAGTCTTTCAAATACTGTCAGGTCTGCTTTTTTAATATACGGACTACCAGTTCTGTCACCTGAGTGACTGAAGTTTACTGCATCTCAATTCTAGCCTGGTCAAGTCAAGGACTGTTGCCACTGTATTCATAAATATTATTTTTCCCTACAGATGTCATTAAGATTCAAAGAAGATTTTAAGTAGAACATGTTGAAACTCTAGAGGACCCAAAATATACAGAGATTGTTGTCTGGGTGCTTGGGGAGGGGAGGGTGGGAAAGCAAAATTGTAGAAAGGAGGAAATAATCCAGATATTAATACCAAAAAACCAAGGTAAAACTATCCCTGTAACAGGCTGTGGAAGCCCATAGGGTTTTGAGACATTGAGGTTCCCACATTTTCTAGACAGTTGGTTTACTGATGGCACTGAGGTTGTCAGCCTTACATGTTGGCCAGCCATGCTGTATGCCAGGAAGATTGTTGGTACTCATTTTTGTTAAAGGCTGAGTGGACCCAGGCCAATAATGTGACTGGAAGGATTAGGTCAGTTGAAAAATCCAGTGACCTCATTGGGAATTGAACCTCCGACCTTTCAGTTTCTGGCACAGTGCCTCAATCAACTATGCTACTGCATGCCTCAATATTAGTACTAGTAATTAAAATTATTTTAAAGAATTCAGGTTCATTTTTCCATCCTATAGAGACCCACAAGTGTAAGAAAGATGGACCATAAAAATATTATTAAGGTAGGCGCACATCTGCCATCATCAGACGGACGGCACAGATCGGACGGATCGGAATTTTTTGTGTGACTGCGCACACCAAATTCGGAGCATCCGCGTTTCCGACAGGTGGTCTTGCCTTCAAGAAATGCTCAGTTCATAGTGTAACATCGTTAAGTGAAGTTCATCTTCTTGGCTATTCTTTGAAATTTGTTTATTGATTATCCTTTCAATCTCATCCCAAATGTTGTCCCTTCATTGCTGGTTAGAATAGTCAGGGTGTCTCAAATTGTACAATTCTTCATATTCTTGCACAATGACAATCAATTGAGCTGAATCCATTGGAAAATTCACCAGTTTTAAGCACATTGAATGAAAATGAACTAACAGCTGCTAACGGCATGAGAGGTGAAATCCCGAACACGTCATCCGCTCCGTACGGCCTAATCGGATTGCCTGCCCCTCATGGGAATACCCGTCGGCATTGCCGAACTCTGATACGTACAATGCGGACAAGTGAGCGCAGGCTCATTTGACACGATGTATGTAATAATAAAATCCGATCAGTCCAATCCGTGCCGTCTGTCCGATGACGACAGGCGTGCGCCTACCTTTAGACAAATTTGTAAGCAAATCTTTCCTTCTGGAAATAATTCCTGTAGCTACCAAGGAATGTTAATTGTTTTTGCTTGGAGATTACTGTCTTCTGGAATGTGGTGATGCGCCTTCATGTATGCCCTGAGAAAATGAAGACAGCAGGTTCCTCAGTGACATTGGTAATGGTCTGTCATGTTGCATGATGTCACATCCCAGAAGGCAGTAATTGTCACAATCACCACTGTGTGAAGATTGAATGTGACATGTCTTTTCCTTGTTCTGTTTCATCTGTTTTTGAATGCATTACATTCAAAACTCAATCTCTGTGGGAAAATGACTGACCCAGCAGATGAAATCCCAGTATGGGGGCCTGCCAGTGCATGTGATAGCAGTGGACTTTCCTCTGTTGCTTCAGATTGGTTTACCTTGGCCTTTGGGGTTATGTTAAAGAGGAGGTAACAGTTTATTGCAGCCACATTTTTGAGATACAGATCTGAAATTCGTATTCTAGTAGCTTACATAGTGGGATACTTTGCAGTCTTATCAGAATTTGTTATATGTTTATTTGTGATGGGACAGCCTCTGTGGTCTAGTGGTTTGAGTTCCTGGCTAAAAACCCAGAGGTCCCGGGTTCGATTCCCGCCGCTACCAGATTTTCTGAGAAGTATGTGTCTGGAACGGGGTTCACTCAGCCTCTTAAGGATAATTGAGGAGCTACTTGAATGGAAAAGCAGCAGTTCCAGCCAAGAAAATCTAAATTAACGGCTGTGGCGATTCATTTCGCTGGCCACATAAGAGCCTCTATCTACTAATGTTGGCACTAACTTTGCCAACAAGCAGCGATCACTCAGTTGGTTGGTATAGTTCGGTTGCGTATTAAAGGCATGGAGTTTCTTTTTATTTGTGATGGAAAAAGTTGTTACTAAAATTAACATTTAATGAATAAAGGTATACTATTCTGCATGTTTGACAAAGTAATGAGCATAGTTTGGTGAAGATACTGATGAAGAGTGAATAAAATATGTCTTTTTAATTTGAGGAATGTGAACATTTACATTTTGACGATAATGAAAGTATACTATTAAAAATGGCAAAGCTGACTCATGCCTGTAGTTAAAAGGATGTCCCAGCAATTCTTCATTAAAATAACTCTGTTTAACAGACACATCTTATTCCTATCATGAATATTGTAATTGATTAGAAAAGTCTACCTTAAAGTCATAAAATGTAGTTTTGAAAAAATGGAGATTTTTAAAATTTGTTATGCAGTTCATATTACTGTGCCATATGGCATGTAATTTTATAAAACACTTTTCAAAAGTTCTATGGATACAGAAATTTGACATGTTGTACAGGACACTCCAAGGATATTGAAATACCTATTTCCAAAATTTTGAAAAGTTGGTCCCAGTGATTTTACATCCCCCATTAAGAAACATTTGTGATAACTATTTTTAGCAAACACTCGGCATATAAGAGGTTTGCTATACTGTAACAGGTTTGCAATGTTGTTCCCAAAAAAAATCTCTGCTTGAAGAGTGGTTCTTGTTTTTGCTTTAGAATGAATTGATTATGGTGCGAACAAACTTATTTTCATTTAATCATATCTCAGGAAGTGGTAAGGAATGAGTCAGGAAGTGAAAGGAAGTTACACAGCTCAGTTCCAAGGTTGGAGGAGAACAATCAAGCAACTTGCTATAAGAAGAACCATTTTTTTGTGTATTTAGTCAACCATAACATGCAGATAATTTTTTTTTCCTTTTCTCTGTGACTGTCTGTTATAGTTAGTACATTATGCTTCTTGATGGCTGAAGTTGAGCATCTGTGGGACTGATGTTGTGTGTTGTTTAACAGCAAATGTCAATGCAGGAGATGTGGCAATGGGTTCACACATGCTACGGAGATGAATTGGGCCTGACCAGTGATGATGATGATTACATTCCACCAGCTAATGAGGAGGACAAACTTTCTGGCATCAACGTGCGTTTGTCTGTAGATTCCTTCTTAGAGGTATCAGTAAGGCTAACATTTTTTTATTGCAGTAAATGGGATTATCTTTTTCTTTCCAGCAAATTAATTTATTTAAGGTGATTAGGTTACAGAAGAAGCAGAGGATCCGAGTGTGATTCCCTGCAGGGGAAGAGATTCTTATGTCTTCCACCAAGTTCAGACCATTCCTTGAGGCTTTCCAGTTTCATATCCAGTGTGTACCAGGGATTCTTCTAGGGTTAGAGCCGCCACCCACTTGTACGTAGTGCCAAGGTTAAGAATATGTTGAGCCAATCTCCACTTCCATGTACATCTTTATGGCTTGTTTTTTGTTTATTATTAACTTATTTAATAATACTTGAAATGCATAGGTAGTATCCAGCATCAGATTGCAGGATCAGTGTGAATAGTAAAGTGGAAAGAACGGCCTGTAATGTGAATGTAACCCTGCCTGAGCACAAGTGCAAGAAGCCTTAGGATAGCTGGTCATCAGGCTGAGATCCAAATGTACAAACCTACAAAACAGGAAGCATGAACTCTAACCACTGAACTAGTAATGGTTATTTATCTATAGAGATAAGCTGTTGGATGATTCTTTATCACTTCATGAAAAAAAGATAAGGTGCCATTGGTGACTGATTTCTCTGTCATTCATTCTTTGTGCTGTAACTGACAGAGGAAAACAGTATTTGTAAGTAATGTACGAGCATTCTGCAGATTTTGCATAAGCTATAAGCAGGTTGGACCTTGTGGTATATGAGAAAGAGTGTTGACGACAGTACTATGATTCTTGCAGAAAATGTCATGGCTGCAAATGTTCAAGAAAGCACAATGAGTGTAAGTATGTGTTAGAGCCTTCATTCATGAATTCAGAAGGTAAAGGCAGTAACAGTACAGACATGCCAGACTTGGTGGGTCCATTGCAGTCATTGAATGGATCCAGTTCTGACTGAAGTTTAATTTTATGTTCTTATATATATATATGAATTGCTCATGTAATTGTGGAAGAATAGGGTAGCTGAAGTGATTAGCTACACTGTTAAAATGAAGAGAGAGCCATAGCAGGCTCTAGTTTTGAATTAGTGTATTAAACTTTTTTTTTCTGTTGCAAAGTTTCATGAGGTGGAACTATACCCTTATTTGCTTGGACCCTTCAGTCATTACACTCTGCTTCTGTTGCAGTGTGAAGCTTTAAAGGCAAGTTGTGTATGTTGTGTGGAGCTGCTCTGTGAATTAATCTGTTAATTGTCTGATTCACTAGCTGATTTCATAATAGGTGCTGTGTTAATTGAATTCTGTATTCACTGTTGTAGCAGGAAAGTTGCAGTATGGCAGAGTCTCACATGGAGACCGTAAACACAGAGGAGCGTCAGAATGATGCATTGTCTTCGAGTACAGTTACAACTAGCGTGTCAGTTCATTCCACATCATGCCAGGAGTCATACAGTGGTACCACATTGCATTCCATATCTCACAGAGAATCTACAGGACATGAACAGATCTCGTTACAAGTTCCTATCTCTGAGACACTTCCCACTGACATGAGTGATACAACTGAGTCCGATGCTGAGAAACATGTTCCAACAGGTGAGTGCAACTGTGGATCTCCATGTCACCTGTATTTTCATGTTGTGTGAATGTTAGGTTGAACATTGAAGCTGGAGCTGCTTTGATACTGAGCTGTAAGCTGGGAAAGGATTCTATGTAGTTGTGCCGATTAAATAAGGCTAGTCTTGATCACTGAATGTGATCATGTGGCAGTCAGGGAACTGGGCCATTTGTTAACCTGTTGTGGCTTCATTTATCCAGCAGTTTCTTCAGTGGTCTTTCCTGGTTCCTTAGTCCATGTGGTATGTAATTTTTATAATAGTTTCACAAGTCTGTTTTTTTGCATTTGTCAGTAAGTTGATCAGCTTCATATTTCAAATGTGTTCCAATATGGGTTCTGTTTTTAATTCCCTTAATTAGTATATCTTCTCTCTCTCTCTCTCCTTTTTTTTTTTTTTTTTTTTTTTTTAAGGTTCATACAAATATGTGTTGCTGTTCACTTCATAAATTTTATTTCAGCAGCTGTAATTCTGGCTTTGTCTTGACCACATGTTACTCTGATATGAAAGGGTAAGGCTAGGATATTATAAATGTTTATTCCATTAAGTTTCTAGACTTTGATGGCTTGGAAATTGTGTTGATGAATCCATTTTATAATTGGTAACAGTTGATATTCTGTTGATATGAAACATAAAGAAGACATTCACTACTAATGTATTAATAATATTAAGAACATACACTAAGTATGTACTAAATGAAGGAGAGTAAGTTCCTAACCAATACAGCACACACCATATCTAGCTGGTGAGCATAGGCCGCTCACTGCTGGCAGTGAAAGGATTAATAACTCTTTGTTTTCGCACAGGTTCATCCAAGACACTAGTTTGCACATCACCTCACGAAGGACGTAGGCTAATTCGATGCATCGTTCCAATCCATATTGATCTGCTGTTTACGATGCTATTCACAAATTCCAAGTTCTTTCTAGACTTCCACAGTGTTAGAAGAACAACTGGTGAGTAAGCTGTATCATTGTTGGTAACCAGGTTTTGCATGTATCCATAGAAGTGCCAAGTATCTTTGAGCTTTGTAAAAATGTCTATATTGTCACGTGTAGGGTGGTATGTGTGACAGGAATGATGGGTTCTAGTTCGGATGATTGGATTTATTAGCACATCAGTTACACACTCTCTCTTAATTACACTTAAATACAGGCAATACAGTGCTACTGCTGATTTACACACTTTCCAGTTCAACATTGCACACACACTAGGATTCCCAGTCTTTACTAGTTGTCTCCTGGAAACGGATCTCAACACAGAAATTATAACAGTCACACTGCAAATATTACACACAAATAAAGTCCTCAAATCACAAGTGAAATCTTCACAATCCAACCTCCTGTACTCTTCTGTACCCTTAGTCCAAATTTTCTCTGTTACCGTGCTTCTGCCAGTACTGTTTCTCTGCCAGCTCAGGAATTGTAATCACTTATATAGCTGAGGGACGGACATTGACCGATGCAGACACATATCATGTGACCCCTAGCCACTCTTGCTGTGTAACAACACCATGCACACTCAGCTGACGGATACACAGGAAACACATGTTACGTGATAGCCACCTACTGTTGATGTGTGGCATCATGGCTCCTGCAGCAGCTACCGGACACACAGAAAACACAGCTTGCTCTACTGTGTGTGCGCATATTGTGTTTACAGAGCTCTTGCCTGGCAACACATTGATTAAATATGCAGAATGTGACATATGCTGTAAGTTGATCTGATAATTTGGATGGATTCTTGTATCTGCATTTAAAGTTCTTAGAAAGTTTGTGTGCGTGGCGTGTGCATGTATATGTGCATGCTCACACGCATGTTGTCATTGTCAACAGGGATCAATTTTGTAGTGCTTTTACTTGTCACCCCATGAAACAGAGCACTTTGAGTATTAGTGTTTCTCATATATTATCTGTATCAGGAATATCATAAGGTAGTGAATTTGCCATGTTACAGTCACCAGCAAAAGTACTTTCAGTGTAAGTTTTGCTATAATTTCAAGGATGTATACTCATCACCATAATCTTGTACTCTTGTAGTGTAGCACCGCACTGTGACTTTCTATCCGTACTGTTTTCTGAATATATATACAGCTTATTATATGGGATTTCAAGTTGTTGTGGCACTGACTATGAAGATTGCTGCCTTTGGAGATGTGACACCTTATAGTTTTGTACATAAGCTCTGGCATTTTGAAGGCTGTGCCGACTCCATCATCAAGGTAGTTCCTAAAGATGGAGACAGCAGGTTCCTCAAAAAAATTTATAACTGTAGCACACTACACAGTGCAGCACCCCATAGCATTTTACGTTGCTTATCTTACCAGTTTTTTGAACAAGCTGTACATCAAGCTCACATGATATCCCTCCTCTGTTTCATATATTGAATAGGTTAACTCAGGCAGCAGTACGTTCGACATGTATTTGGGAGGTACAAAATTTGAATCTCAGTGTTTTGTTTGTTTATTGTTTATTTAACAATGGTGTCAGCAGCTCAGATATGTGAAGCATCTAATAATGGGATGGTGAGTGAATGCTGACTATGTAAATAAGCAGCTAGAACCTAATTTGAGGAAGTACCCTAACATTTGGCAGGAAAAGCTCAGGCAAACTGTGAAACCTCCATCAGGTTACTCAGTGCACTGGCAGAGATTCAAACCAGACAGCTCTGAAATACAAGTCAGAATTGTTGCTGCCTCAGAATACTTGTTCAGTGAATTTCAATGTCATAATTAATTATCTTAATTGTGGTACTTTTACCAAGGCAGCACATTACTCCAGAACGTTGGTAACCATATACCAGACTACAGAGTGTCATAATATAGAGGGCCACAATTTAAAGCATAAACAACGACAAAGAGAACTGTCACCTGGGATGTAATGTTGCATAGTCTACACATCTGCCAGTGTTTTAGAGAAATGTATTTTCTCCATCTTCACAGGCACCACAAATTCAACATAAATAGTAATGTTTCAGCACGGGTCATTAATCTATATGCTCTTCACTGTTTTGCTACTGACCTCATTAAGAAATTTTTCAGTTGTCAATGAAATGGTAACTAACTCTTGGTAATATAATCCAAGGTTCAACACATTTAGTCTTGAAGTTCGCCCATTGAACTTAATCCTTAACCAGTTCATAGTTCACATCCTCGTGAACTGTTTCCCAGCTTCTGCTGGTGATGAAAATTTTGTGTTTAATTTTTGCTTTGTTTTCTTCAGCTGTTGGCATTCCGTATATTACAGATATGTCTCACACTGCTTGGCAGCAGGATCCCCAGAGTGGTACAAAACAGCGAGTCGTGAACTATACCATTCCCCTCAGCCAGTCAGTTGGACCCAAGTCCTCCCAAGTAACAGAGACCCAGGTAAGGTGTCTGTTGAATTTAATGCATTCACTGCCAACACTGCGCCTAACACTAAGCTGTAGCAGTAACACGGTGCCACATTCAGATGTTGGATAAGACTCAAACTACCCTGATTGATATTTCTCATGGTTTTCCTTCGTCCCTGTAGGCAACTCCAGGATAGTACCTTGACAAGGTGTGATTGCTTCCTTCCAGATCTTTCCACTTCATTTTTCACTAATCATTCTATTATTCAATGCCAGTGTTGCATTACCAACATCTTTGCCAAGCAAACCACAATTAAAATGCAGCAGGCAATGCTTCTTCAAGGTGGAATGTTATGGTACCTCCCCTGACTTGAACAGCTGTTCCACTAGTGTTGTATTATGTTGTATTTGCAGGTAATGCTACCCTGTAGCAAACCAGGTGAGCTGTATGCAGTTGATGCCAATTCTGTCAATGCAGGAGTTCCATATGCAGACTCATTTCTTATAAGCACTCATTATTGTATTTCTCGAACTTCTGAAACGAAGTCATGTCTCGCCGTCTACGCCCAAGTGAAGTTCAGGAAATCTATGTGGGGTTTGGTGAAAAGTAAGTATGTGAATCTGAATACAGAGTAAACTCAAATTCCATGGGATGAGAACATTTTGCTGTTTTGCTTTCCTCTGATAAAATTAAGCATCTTTATGTTGCATAGAAATCTCCAGTGAAATATGTAATGCATTTTGTAAAAGGCTATTTGAGACTGAAGCGAAGATGAGATGATAGTATTAAACTAGATCATAGTTATATCAGTTGCATATTTATAGACTTCTGTTCTGAATTGATGCAGGTGGTTGCTTGAGAAAATTTTAGTGTTTTCAGTCACTGTGAAAGCTTAAGTACATAATACCATGTTTCATAAATGATCATACCACTTTAGGTATTTGGGAATGATTTTATATGGAAGTGGACCCATTGAAGTGACTAGCAATGGGCTGGATGACATCAGATGTTCTATTCCTAGAAGGGGCAGGGATTTTACCTAGCATCATAACCAGTGGTTGCTGGATGCTCTTTCCCAGTTGGTGAAAAGGGAAGGACATGAAGCTGACCATTCATGCCTATCTAATGCCAAGGTTAACCCATCATCTGCATTGGCTTGGGGTTGGGGTTAAGACTGCCACAGCAGAAGAGATTGGCTTATTGTTAGACAGGTTATGTGGCATTTATGTCAGTAGATGGCATGAAGTATTTTGGGTTTTTCTATGCAATTGCATTTACCTCCAAGGAGCTTTGGGATTTCTGGCAGGTAGTTCTATGGTGGTACTGGCTATGAAAGGGATAAGAATGTGTGGAGCTTGACCTCAACTAACCCATATATCTTTGTGGTGTGGTTCTTAAGAACAGTGACAAATTTTTAATTTACCTTGTATTTTTGTAAATTTCATATCTTTGATATGACTGGTATGTTTTTAAAAGTCAGGATATTTTTGACTTCACATGCTTTGAAGTGTATATATTTTATATCGGCAGAATTTGTTTTATCATTTTCTGAGTTTAGCTCTTTTATGCACTGATTTATGTTATATGTTTCCATTCCTTGTAATTCACTTGGTAATATCTGTTCAGGTCTTATTGAAAAGAACACTTGGTCTGGTTTGGAAGATTTTTATGCACATCTAGAGAGGGCTCTGCTGGAAGAAGGAACCCAGTTACCTGTCACCAAGAAGAAAACCCGACGGCGGAGAAGGCTTCTGTCTGTGGGTCCTACTGGATCTGAGGAACCAAAACACCGAATTAGTAGGCCTGCTTCAAGTAAGTCTGAGAGATTGATGCTGTGAAATATTAATCATCTTCAGCATATTATTTTTTTTATTGCTAGTGGGGTGGGACTAAGCCTGTCCTGAAACATTTTCAGGCAGTGCGGATGGTGGTTGTGAAACATTTGCATTTATATCACATGATTTTGTGTGGTTTCAGGATTTCCATTACCTGAATTACGTAGTCCTGCAGACACCCTAAGTTGCATTGTTCTTGCGATTCTCCTTTTTCTCGTTCTTCTCAACGCACTTCTCTATTACAAGCTTTGGGCACTGGAAGAGTGGGCACAGGATTCCAGTGATAGCTTTAATGTTATGGATCTGCAGGTTCTCAGGTAAGTAACCACATCCATTTGTCAAGATAATGAGTGCATAGTCATTGTTTGTTTTAGGCACTAATGGGATACCACATTCTTGTCATTTACTGGTGGTCTGCCCTCTTGTTCTCTTAATTTTATTTTTACTTTTGGAACAGCTTAGCTATTGCTGAACATTGTAGGTAAGTGGGCAGAAGTTTTTCATCATATTTTGGAAGTCCTGGGTTCAATTCTTGGCCTAGGGACAGTAATACTGTGATTGAACCTTTTTGTGTTGTTTCACAGTTGAGCCATGTCCCTCGACCCTGTGGGTAAAGAATCCCGTTCTTCTACTCACTTTTACCCGTGAATCCCTACTCTATATGGGTAAGGGACAGGCTCATAAGAAACAACTTGCTTGTAGCGTGGTGCACTATGCCTCCCTAGGATTGTGTAAGGGATCTCAAGGGAGAAAAGCCACAGTTGGCACGATGGGCCAGGCTGGACGGATCCGCTACGCAGGAGCTGGTATGGAACATACGACACAAGTATGCATATACACAACTGGCATTCTCAAAACATATAAATAAATATATATTGATAACATAAGTATACAACGAAGTCTGCCTGAAGGGCAGTGACTGGTTAGAACATGTGGTAAATGATTGATAGAGAACTACGTCATGCCCAACAGCACAGAACTCAAGTCAGCCACGCCTCACAGCGTATTTCTACTTCTCCAGTACAAGCATGCACCTAGGCAAGCCTTGAGGGCACAAGGAAATATAAACAGCTTACAGACACAGCTGAACACGCCTGAAGGGCGATCTGCTGTTTATCACAACCTTAGACAAAACCAAAATTACCCTACGCCACACGGCATCAATAATCAAACCAAAATGCGCCTACGGCATATATTACCTTAGTATGTCACTTACTTGAATATACTTCTTGAATATACAAACTCAAAGATTTACCTCACGACTGATCCACCCTTGACCATGTCGTGAGGGCGCTCTTCCCCCTTCAGTCAGTTCTGCGGGCCGAAACCAAATTTCTAACACACTCAATTCAACTTTCCGAAACCAAATTTAAACGCAGCGATGTTTCCAGGCGAAGGTCAACGGGAAGAGAGAAAGATACACTCACTTGTATTATGTAGGAAACCTCGGAATACGTCCAGGAGGGGGGGAGAAGGGCAGCTGACCTGACGTCAGTCAAAGACGTTAACTGGAAAGAAAGGGAACGGCTCGCATCCTGGCATTTCAGGGGTGGGGGGGGAGACTCCAAGGAACTTCACGGAGAAGAACCGTTGCATGGTTCACAGTCTGTCCAGGAAAATGCCAGAATAGTGTCAAGGTTGTCGTATTCATGGGTGTCCCACTTTATAGGTTGATAATGGGTACCAGCGTGTTGGTAAAATCTGCTTGCTGCCTCCATCTTCAGGGTCATAATTGTACCCTCAACATGGAGGCAGCAGGTTCTTCCAAAATGTTACTACCTATGTAAGTCCTGGCAGTCCTGGAATCGGGGTACATCATTCCTTGTGTACGCAATGAAGCAAATGACAAGCTTATTCAGTAAGATTTCCTGTATGACACATCTAATGATAATCATTGATAGGTTGACTGACAGTGTCAGCAGTCACAAAATCGTTCACGTAGTTATACCTGTAAATAATATTCTGGTGCCTTACGATGAAGAAACTAAAAATTGAAAAGACTTGTCTGAAATATGAAAGGAGGAGTAGGGTATGTGTTTTCTGTTAATTTCTCTAAGATTTGGTGACAGTGGTGACAGCGGCAGCAGCACAGTCCCCCCCCCCGCCCCCCCCGCCACCACTGCCATCACCCCCGCCACCACCAGTAGTAGTACGTGCTATAGTGAAATGAGAGCATAACTTGATTTGTTCCATTCTGGTCCGTCACACTAACAATTATAAAGGCAAAAATAATAGCGTCTAGTGTGACTATTTAAGTCTTATCACTTGAGGATTTATCTCCCTTACATGTTTCGATCCTTACGGATCATCCTCAGAGAGTATCACTACTTTCAGAAACTACTATTACAATAGATGCTAATTATACACATATGATGTCTAAAATGCACAATATACGCAATGTTCAACCTTCCACATTCACAGCGGCCTTCTTGGTGTTAAGACTTTTTAAAAAAATGTAAACCACACAGCAGGCCACGAATAAACACGGAAATACTAAGGATCTCCTTTCGCAAGATAAACAGGTGGCACAGGATCAGCCACCTCCACGAATAACAATAGGAGAATTGACGCGAACCTGTATGGTTCATAAATTTTAAGCTTGATCTTGAAAGTTTTTAAAACAAACTTTTTTTAAAAAGTTTTAACACCAAGAAGGCCGCTGTGAATGCGGAAGGTTGAACATTGCATATATTGTGCATTTTAGACATCATATGTGTATCCATACAATTAACATCTATTGTAATAATAGTTTCCAAAAGTATTGATACCCTCTGAGGATGATCCGTAAGGATCGAAACATGTAAGGGAGATAAATCCTCAAGTGATAAAACTTAAATAGTCACATTAAACCGTATTATTTTTGCCTTTGTGAGAGCATAACAGTAAGACTTTCTAGTATTAATGCTAGTGCATGTTTAATAGCATTAGTGCCATTTGAATAATTTTTTGGTAAGTGTGATTTTTGCTAATATCTTCTTTAGTGGCTATGTGTTCTCTTCATATTTGTAAGGGCCATTCATCTGTTACACACTGTAAAGAGAATTTTACTGGTTTATGAATACAGAATTGTATGGACGCACTTTTTGTAATGCACTAATGCCAGCACTATAAACAGAAGTGACATGTGGTTTGGCATATGGAAAGAGATTAAGATGGGATGTTATATCTGATGTCACTGGTTGTTCTTATTATTATTGTTTTCATTAGACAGTAATGGTGCAGTAGAAGAACAGATCTCAGAGGAATTAAAATTAGCTTTTACATGTGTTGAATAAATGTTGGTAATAATGGTTTTCCTAGGATGACATCTCATGTTTTCTGCTGTGTTGGTACTCTCAAGGAAAAGATTCAGAAGGTTACAGAAGTTGGTGTACTTTTACCAAGCAGAGTTTCTAAAAGAAGTAAGAATACTTGTATATTAGTACTGCAAAATGAAAATAAACATATTAGAAATATATTATGTCCTAGATAAATAGCAATAAAATTTATTCCAATAAAAGTGATACAGTATATTAATATAATATAATACTTGTGCCATCTTACGCACTGCTATCACTTGTGCCGTCCACCCTCTGCTACCACTTGTACCGTCTTACGGTCTGCACCTCTGGCACCTTTCGGCTCCGTCTACCCTTCCTCCATTGGAGGGGGAAACGGTGCTCCGTCATACGGCTCTCATGCTGTGCTCGCATACTCCCTAAGTTAGAGTAAGGGATCCAAGCTAGCAGCGAGGTAAATCTAGTTACAAATGATGGCAATCATTATAATAACAAATAACAGAATTTAATAAACACAACTAACACATAACCAAAGACAAGAATTCATCATCGTTACAGGGCACGAGCCCAAGAAATTAAACAGAACAACTCAACTAATTGCACATTTAAATGCTCGCACACAGCGGCATCTAACTCGGGCAGAATGGCCCATCCTTACTGGCGCAACAATTTGCCTTGGTTGCATGAAAACATAACTACTACTTTCTAGCTGGGCCACAGGCTGAGTCTAAACCAAATACACAATATAAATTATAAACACAGGTTTAACTAAACTGGTACGAGTCGCCGCCGTACTACAAACCCGACGACGGGCGATCTCACCGGCTGCGAACCAGCCCACTACTTGCCGAAACCAATTTTGGACTCCCAGCCGAACAGGAATTTGACAGTCACTCTGGCTGGCTCGGTGCCGTGACCAAGGCCCTATGGATCCATAACCAGGACTGTCCTCCAAATTCGAATTAACTTCCAAGCAAGGCTCCCAGGGGTAGAAAGAAGGGGAGAGTGCAACACCACATGACCCCATCCCACATGGGGAGAGGGTGGGGGATAAGTTTAAGAACCTCGATCAAGGGGCTGGAAGCCCATGAGTCATACCAGAGCCACTGCATGGCTCATACTGTATACACAGTGCATTTATATAAGCCACACCCACTACCATTTTGTGAGAAAAGTATTGATGCAGTATGCTGGAATTTTCCACCAGCACGTGAATACCAGAAGTATGTTGAAAATAGAATCTGGTGACATAATGATGACATAGCAGTATACATTTGTAACTGGCGATGATGCACCCAGGATCATCCTCTGGCACAACTTTATGAGTAGGTGTGTCCTGTAGGGGGCAGTTACAAATGCCTGCAACCAAACATAAATTTATGCAGGCTTATGTAGAGCAGACATGGACAAGCATGTGTAGTTTTGTATGGGTGTGAAACTTGTTTCTGGCCTTCAGGGAAGAACATAGCCCTCGGGTGTTTATGTTGTTGAGGATCTGAATAGGAGGAAGTCTCAGGAAGCTAGAAAAATTTTCAGATGAGGAGCTTTGTAATCTTGCTTTTCACCAGTAGTGGGGTAGCATAGTTGGTATAGCGACTGGCTATGGGCTGGATGGTCAAGGGTTCGGAGTTCGAGTCCCAGTGGGGGCAAGAATGTTCACTTCTCCATGTCCAGACCGGCTCTGGGGTCCACCCAACCACCTATCCAATGGGTACTGGGGGGCTCTTTCCCTGTGGGTAAAGTGGCCGGGGCGTGAAGCTGACCACTCACCTCCAGCTAGTGCCGAGGTCAAGAAAATATGGCTCTATACATCCACTCCCCCATACACCTTCATGGTGTAGTGCTTAATTCATTAAGCACAGAGACAAAGATGGGATGGGCTGGCCATTTTGCAAGATTGTATATTAAATTTCGGTTGGAAATTCTGAACGGAAGAAACCCCTTAGAAGAGGTCAGATTGGAGGATAATTTGAAATGGATCTTAAAGAAGCAGGGTGGGACTGCATTACTCTGGCATGGGATAAGTCCTAAACTTTTCTTTTCAATTTTGAATTGTTTCATTTTGGTCCGTTACACTATCAATCACCAATTATCAATAGAACCTCCGTCGAGTGTAACAATATATATTCTTGTCACCATTTTTCTTTCACATTTGCCTTACATGTTTCGGCTCACCAAGAGCCATCATCAGAGGCACCCACAACAAAAACATGGAAACACTTGCACTGCTCAACAATCACAATGTACAGTTTTTTGTGGAAGATGTTACACGTATCGGAGCGTAAAAACACAACAACATCCAGTATCCCGAGTGCAGGTATCCCACTTGCATTTAAAGAAATCACCCACAAAGCGAGTCGTTGATGTTAAAATTAAAGTTAAAACCGTCCAAGTAAAATATTCAGGTTCCTCTTAGTGGATAGTCCCAATGGGGGAGGCGTCAGCACGAGGTTGCGTGGGCTGCAAAGATATTGTATTACGTTAGGTTTTATTTATTATAATATATTTAACGTTGAATATTAAATAACTAAAAACCTTATTAAACTTGAAATATGAATACAACATTACTAATACCTTAAACTTTGCGAATAACATCAACAAGTTAAAACTTAACCCAGAACATAAATTTCTTACAATGGACATTAAAGACCTTTATGTGAATATCCCAATAAATGATGTAATCCGCATTACTAATAACTTACTCATCCAAAATCATATAGGCAAAACTTGCAAAGATGAAATTATTACGATCCTCCGAATGATATTGAATCAAAATTACTTCCAATACAATGATAAATTCTATAAACCAAACTCGGGTGTTGCCATGGGCTCTCCCTTGTCGAGTCTAATGGCGGAAGTATTTCTGCAACATTTCGAGCAAAGGGAAGTAAAGCACTTGCTAGAGGACAAACGCATCATCTACTATAATAGATATGTAGATGACATAATTTTGATTTATAACCAATTAATCGTTACGCCCCAATACATTTTAGATCAATTCAATAAGCAAAATAAAAATTTGCAATTCACACTAAATGAGGAGGAGAATAACCAAATAACGTACCTTGACTTGCGGTTAACAAATAACCACGGACAAGTAAGAATGGAGATATATAGAAAGCCCACATCGACAGACACAACGATAGGTAATAATTCTTGCCATCCCAAAGAACAAAAATTGGCAGCATACAAAAATTGGTTACATAGACTATCCGTCCTACCTTTGGATAACGCAGCAAAGAGCCAAGAATTAAATACAATCATTAACATTGCGAAAAACAATGGTTATAGTAAAGACTTGATTATGCGTATGTATCATAAATGTCGACAACCAAACATACTGACCCCTATTGGAAGTAGTGAACAGAAATGGGTTTCATATACATATAACGGATGTTACACTAGAAAAATTACGAAGCTTTTCAAAATCACAAACGTAAGAATAGCCTTTAAAGTAAATCATACTTTAGGTAAATTACTAAACACGAAACAAAACATAAACTCCTATGAGCAAAGCGGCGTTTACAAATTAACCTGCTTAGAATGCCAACAAGTGTATATAGGTCAAACAGGCAGAAAATTAATAACACGCTACAATGAGCATGTAAGATGTATAAGGTTCAATAAAGAGGACTCAGCCTACGCTCAACATATTTTAAATAGACAGCATCAATATGGCCCTATTTCACAAACTATGGAATTGATTGAAGTGGCTAGGAAGGGTAAATTAATGAATATAAAAGAAGAATATCAAATCTACCGCCACTTCAAGGACAACAAATTGATAGATGAGCAAAAACAGGCAAAAGAAATCAATACTCAGAACAGCATGTTTGACCTCATTACCACTTGTACACACACACCCCCCACCACGTCAAGATACACATAGCTTTAAATAACATCGACGTGGCCTCTCCACTGCACTACACAATACACTACGCGTCGGACACAGCCGACCACAAGGTAAGGCCAGCATCAAATATTATTTAATATTCAACGTTAAATATATTATAATAAATAAAACCTAACGTAATACAATATCTTTGCAGCCCACGCAACCTCGTGCTGACGCCTCCCCCATTGGGACTATCCACTAAGAGGAACCTGAATATTTTACTTGGACGGTTTTAACTTTAATTTTAACATTAACGACTCGCTTTGTGGGTGATTTCTTTAAATGCAAGTGGGATACCTGCACTCGGGATACTGGATGTTGTTGTGTTTTTACGCTCCGATACGTGTAACATCTTCCACAAAAAACTGTACATTGTGATTGTTGAGCAGTGCAAGTGTTTCCATGTTTTTGTTGTGGGTGCCTCTGATGATGGCTCTTGGTGAGCCGAAACATGTAAGGCAAATGTGAAAGAAAAATGGTGACAAGAATATATATTGTTACACTCGACGGAGGTTCTATTGATAATTGGTGTTTTCTTTTCAAGTTTTTGTTTATCACTGACATTCAAAACAGAACTCAGGAAATTAGATCTGTTTCCACTCTCGGGTGACTTAAGCTATCCAGGTGACTGCCTGACTTCGGTTATTCAGTGACTAAGATCAACTCTTTCTAATCGACTAAACTCATTGGGTGTGTCTAAGTTCATCACCTGATGATCGGGAACTCACAAATTCCCAGTTTAATATATGGTCATGACAGTGCTTCAGAAGACAATATTTTGATTACCTGAGTAACGAGCAACTGTTCAGAAAGATCGTGCCCCATTGGGCTAGTGTTTGGAATGTGATGCCATATAGTCTGGTAGATCATTATGAATGTTTTGGAGGCCCCTGCAGCCCGCATCTCCTGCCCAGAGGATGGGGGCAGCAGGGGCCTCCAAAAAATCTGTAACAGTCTACCAGACTACACTATGGAATATCCCAGAGGACGGTAGTATTCCTAATCATTGTAGGGAACCTCATACCTCATATATCTGTTATATTATGAATCAGTTTCCCTATATTAATCTCACTGAATGCAATACCAAAATTACAGGCATCCCCCAAAATCCCACGACGAGTGGCTACGCTTGCTGCAGCAGCAAGAAGCACTTCACAATATGGAACTGCAAAAATGGCAGAAAGTACTGCAGGCCGCTGTGCAGCTCTTGAGACAGGTAAGAGGTTTCTGATTGTGGAATGTCAGATATTATTTGTGTGTATGAGACTTCGTTATGGATAACAGGTTGGGCACTTGAAAGGGTACTTGTAAGATCTTAACAGTTTCATACAAATCAATTTCAGATTGTATTTTTCTAAGTAAATATAAACTCTGCAGTTCTGAAATTTGGCACATATGTAGCTGAGGATTCTGTATATTTGCCAACTTCTATTTGTACGTGGTTTACTTATAAACATACTTTTAATAAAAAGTATTATTTTTTTGGATGTGACACCATGTGGTTCTGAGGAGTGTACTGCCTCCATCTTCAGGGTCAGAGATATGTTAAACAAGCAAGGAGCAGGCTGAGCTGCCTGTTTTTTTGCTTGTTGCTTGCATAGGATATCTTCAACCGTGAAGATGGAAAAATTGCTAAACTACATGGTGCAATCCAAAAGTTCCCGAAATATATTAATAAAAACTATTACATCTTACCTAGATCTTATTCTGCACCATCACCTTCAAAGTAGTCCCCTTGGGAGCGCATACACCGATCCCACCATTTCTGCCACTTTTCAAATGCATCCTGGAAGTCTTTCTTTGTTAGGGTGTTTAATATCGTTTGCGTTTCCACTTGAATTTCCTCAACTGTATCAAATCTTCGCCCCTTCAACTTGATTTTCATCTTGGGGAAGAGAAAGAAGTCGCATGGAGCTAAGTCTGGCGAGTACGGTGGGTGGGGAACAACTGCCATCTTGTTTTTATCCAAAAATTCCTGCACAATGTAAGCTGTATGTGGTAGTGCGTTGTCATGGTGGAGTACCCAGTCGTTCGTGCGCCACTTCTCTGGACGTTTTCTCTTCATGTTCTCCCTCAAACACCTTAGAACATCGCGATAGAACTCTATTGACTGACCAGGAGGGACGAACTCCTTGTGAACAATCCTGTCAATATCAAAAAAACAGATCAACATGGACTTAATGTTGCTCTTGACTTGTCGAGCTCTTTTTTTTTGGCCGAGGTGAAGAAGGGCTCTTCCATTGCAACGATTGCTGCTTGCTTTCAGGGTTGTAGCCATAAACCCAACTTTCGTCACCAGTGACAACCTTCGAAAGAAAGTCTGGATCCTCTTGAAGCTTTTGCTGAAGATCCCTGCAGACTTCCAAGCGATGCTGCTTCTGTTCATTTTGCAGCAGTCATGCCACAAACTTTGCTGCAATCTTCCTCATGTTCATTTCCTCTGACAAAATTCGTTGACATGTACCATAACTTAGTCCCAAGGTGTTACAGAGGTCTTGGATGGTCAGTCTACAATCTTGCAGAATCAGATCCCTAACTTTCGCGACATTTTCTGGTGTTTTGCCCGTTGACGGCCATCCCGAACAATCGTCATCATCAGTCAGTGTTCGGCCAAAATGCTTATACCAGTTGTAAGTTTGTGTCTGGCCTAAACTGTTTTCACCAAAAGCTTGCTTCAACATTTGGTGCGTTTCTGCAGCAGTTTTCCCAAGTTTGAAACAAAACTTTATACAGTCACGCTGCTCTCTCAGGTCATCCATCACAAAACCGCAAACTCACGGAAACACAGCAATGGAAATACGTTCACCAACAATAAACCCAACCACTTAACTCGACGCCGCTTGCCACGCTGATTCAAGAAGGATGTGTGAGGAGACACCTAGCGGTATTTCGATGTACTCATAACCATTCGCACGCAAAATTCAAATTTCGGAAACTTTTGGATTGCGCCACGTACATGGCATCACTAATATGAGAGTCACAAATGCAGTTTACTTTTTAAATCAGTCTTTTTTTCTAAGATGCGGCTTTTCAAAAAACTGGTGAAAAGACATAGCTCATACTTTCTTGGATACAGCATTACCTTGCATAGTCTGGGTAATCGGTTCTGCCAATATCCCGGACTGTTTGAAACCAGACTAATCAAGGAACTAGATACATACAAAAAAAGATAATTTGTTCCCAAAAAAAAATCTCAATTTTTCAATAAATAAAACGTGATTAATAAATTCAAATGTCTTTGTTAGATAAACTAGCAGTACCCGGCCACGCGTTGCTGTGACTCAGTCTGGTTAAATGGAAAAGAAAGAAAAGAGAAAGCACACGTTTCTAATATGTTTAATTTCACAATGCTTGTGGGTGTACAATATTTTTTGTTGTTCCACTGTCTCTGCAGATATAGAGATTGTCTGGTTTGCCGACTCTAGAACACGCAACATATAATTGTCCATGTGAGAAGCAATCCATGCCTAGATCTAAACCGCACAGTTCTAAAGTTTGGCCCTGAGCTTTGTTGATGGTGATTGCAAACGCCAGTCGAATTGAGAATTGCAATCTCTTAAATTGAAATGGCACATCCGTTGGAATCATGGGAATGCGAGGAATGAGGACATCTTCACCTTTGAAAGGTCCTGTCAAGATTGTTGCTTCTACGACATTGCTCAATAATTTTTTTACTGCAAGCCGCGTGCCGTTGCAAAGCTTTGGCTGGTTGATATTTCGCAACATGATAATTGGCACACCCATTTTCAATTGCAGTACGTGCGGTGGCATCCCTGGCAAATCGAGTGAATTCAAAATTTCTGTTGGATAATTAACCACTTCATCTGCTTCCACAACAGTGTCGACGGACTTGTACGTGACTGCCTCGCATTGAATGTTAGACTGAATGATATTGTTAAGTTCGTAGACATCTTTCTTCTTGGCCGCAAGAATAGCTCGTTCACTCGGCCAATCGTGATTCTTATAATTGGTTTGAATATTGGGAAATACTTTTTCAACCAATTCTTCTTTTGACGTCACTAAATTGCAGAAGTTATGAGACACTGAAATTCGTCCTGAGGTCAGATCAACCGGCACCTTTCCATTCCCAATTTCCAGCAATTGATGTGAGAATATCTAAGCTGATCGATCGTTTTGCAGCTGGACACGCATATTTGTAGTTATTTTTAACGTCTTTACGTGTCGCCACAAAGTAGAGTATTTCAGGCAAGCATTTATTTCGTCCGCTGGTGTCGATCGAGGAATTACAGGTAATGTTTGCCTGAAATCTCCTACAAACAATATTAATGCGTTCCCAAATGGTCTGATGTTTGCACGCAAATCTTGCAATGATTGATAAAGAACCTCGAGCGATATTTTATGCGCCATTGTGCATTCATCCCAAACAATAAGTTTGCATTTCTGCAATACCTTTCCCATACCTGATGCTTTGGAAATGTTGCATGTGGGAGTTTCAATGAATTGCATGTTCAATGGCAATTTCAAAGCAGATTGAGCAGTTCTTCCACCTGGTAGCAATGTTGCAGCTATTCCGGATGATGCAAGAGCTAAGGCTATGTCATTTTGGGATCGAATTGCTGCCAGAATCAATCTAATTAGGAACGTTTTACCAGTTCCTCCTGGCGCATCTAAGAAGGAGATTTCTGCAACCCTGTTATTGACAGTTTGCATTATTTGATTGTAAATGCCTTTTTGCTCAAGCGTTAGCTTAGGAGTATTTGATTGCACATACGACAAAAGATCACCCATGTTGTAATTTTGTTCACGACGCAATTCTACATTGAACGAAGCAGCAGGAGATTGATTCAGTGATGGCATTCCCAATTGATTGAGAACTTTGTTCGCGATTTCTAAGCACAAATCTTCAGTCATTATCAAAGCTTCGTTGTAGATTTCTGCTGTGAAATCCATGTTCATATTGGAATTTTCCTTCATGCAAATCCTTATTGATGTCGGCATCGGGTACTTCAGCGCATATTACATCGTCTATTTCGTTTGAAGTGATTTTGTTATAGAGCCAGATTAGTATATGTGCGTGTGGTGATCATCTTTTTTGCCATTCCACTGAGTACATCTAGCAGCGCACAGACCCAAACACTTCATGTTTTACCATGAAATCCATCAGCGATTTCAGCTTCTGTCTGAAAACACGTGCTGTGATGTCGTGCCTATCCACCGGTGATTGCCCAGGAAGTAAGAGCTGTTGTATATCGTCCCAAGCTGAATTGCATGTGAATGTAATGAATAGGTCTGGACGCCCGTAGTGACGAACATACACAATTGCATCTTGAGCGTACTCATGCATATGACATGGACTGCCTGTATATGAAGATGGCCAAATAGTTAGTCTTCCAATGTTAGTTGTATTACCGTCATTTACAACTGCATCTCGCAATACCAGACTAACTTCTTCGGCGGTTAATTTCGGACTGACTGCTCCTTGTCGAAGCTGGGCTATTTATACCTCAGCGGTTGCTATACAATGCCTTTGGTTGTCTATCACAAGGGAAACGCTGCTTTGTTGATTCCGCAGTTCCTACGCAACGACCCATTGTTATTGCGTTGTCTCTGTGGGAACGCTCCGTGTATTCGTCATAACTGTGGAGATTCAATACAGTATCTTCCTATGTAATGGTCTGTTCTAGCATTTCCATAAGGGTGACTCTTCTGAATTCCAAATTCCAATTCTGTTTTTCAAAAGAAGCATGTTTTTACCTGTCACAGGTGTGACATCTACATAATAGGTATATAAAAACGCGCACATTCGAATGCAACGTTGTGTCAAAATTTCGAAGCAGTTGGTGAAGAACTTTCGGAGATTTAGGATCATGAACAAACGAACATTTACATTTTTATTTATATAGATTTGCTCAAATAAAATTTAGTTTGTTTTGAAATTTTCAAACTGGACTATAGTAAATCCAGACTGATCGAAGCCGGACTATGCAAGGTATTTCTGTATATGCGTTTGGACCACCAGAGAGTATGCCGATATTTCCATGAAAATATCACCTGTGTGGTTTTGTTTAGGGAGATTGTCTCTGTACATTACTCATTACTCATTTTAGCCATCGTCAAGAAAACAGCAATTTTGTGTTTTAGAGGCCTTTGTGAAGTGGCTCCTATTTTTGGAGCTAGAATGTTCATATTCGCTGGTACTGGCCTATAATGCATAAGTTCTTGATTACCAAATATGAAGAAAAACTGTCCAAACCTTCAGGTGCTAATGAGGGATACAGGTGGCATTCCCAAAGCCACTGTTTTTATATTCACATATGTTTGAAATGTGTAAATCGATCCCAGTCATAAGATCAGTTTGCTTTGTGCTGCATTTAGACAGAAGAGTCACTTAGTGAGCTGCAAATTGCCATTAACCCTGTGGTGAGTAAGAAGGTGCTGTCGGTCCTGAAGGATGCATTCACGGAGGAGGCAGCTAAAGCTGAAGTGGAGCCAGTAACACCGCAGGCAGATGTAGATCAGTTAAAGGTACCTGACCCCGAGGGAGAACTTTAATTATTGTTTGTAAAATGTGTGATCATCTTGCCTGTAGGATAAGTGGCTCAGGATACATACCCAGCAGTATTGCATAGCGGAAAGTATTAGTTTCGGTATCTGCTGTGGGTTACAGATACATTGTAAAGTATGTCGTTTGAGCCCACTGTATGAAATATATGTAAATTAATAAATATTAAATTATGTGAAAAGAATTGGATGGTCAAATATAGTTTAATAAGTTCTATTTCCTCTACCCCTTCCCGACTCCTGTGTTGACATATCTCACTGTTTCACATGCAGACTTAAGCTCTTAGGTTATATTGATATGACAATTTTTTTTTATTCAGCTGCCATCTCTTTTTGAAAATTGAAACTCTCTGCTTATGTACAGGTCTTGTTTTAGTGTAACCATTGGCATTTGAGTTGTAGAAGAATATTGTGATATGTTTGTTTTATTCTAGATAATTTAAGAAAAATTTGGAAATATGTCACTATCAAGAAGTGACGGACAAAATACTTCAGGTAGAGGGATAACAGAGAAGGAATTAACAGCAGTTTATCATATACTGACACCTAATATTATTACCAGCTGGTCACGGTAGCCGAGTGGTCAAAGGCATGTACTGTCTTCACTCGCTTGGAAGCTGGGATCATGGGTTCAACAGCCACACAAGGCATGGATGTTTGGTGTATGTATGCTTTTATTCTGCTTGTGTTGTCCTGTGTTTAGGTAGAGACCTCGTGACGAGCTGATCACCCGTCAAAGGAGACCTACCATCTGTAAAATGATCATGAAACTGAGAAATCATTCCTATGCCCCTAAGTGGGAGCAAGAGGAGAGAGAGAGAGAGAAATATTATTCCCAAGCAATTCAGATGTAATTCATATTCATAATGTATTAAATATCAGATTTGTAAGATGGTAGTGTGAACCCATAAATTACAGTATATTTACAGTTTATTCCATTGCATCCTGTTATGTAATTTCACTATGTAATTAAAGAATATCATGTTCACAGTGTCACAGTGCATATTTATCAATAAAATTCACAGATTGGGTAACATGTTTCAGCGCAGTAGTGCCATCTTCAGGCCTCAAATACCCAGTTACAATACAAGCATAAACAAAACATGAAAACTTTGATATTCATTTGTAACTTTCACAAAATTGGTGAATTATAGTGGCTTGTTGTCTTTATGTTAAACTTCATAAAACTGGTGAATTATGGTGGATTTTACTCTGTGTTAACTTTCACAAAACTGGTGAAATGTAGTGGATTGTATCTGTGTTTCAACCTTCACAAAATTTTAAGCACACACACACACACACACACACACACACACATGAAGAAAGAGAGGGATACCTTTATTTTTATTGTTGGATTCTTTGACTGTAGGTTATAGTGTAATTCTTCCTTTATATACAAACATACACACATATCTATTGTAATATCCCTTTTGTTTTCTTTTTCTCATAGTGTGAGAGAATGAAAACTATACACGCATGTGTGTGGGCGCGCGCACACACACACACACACACACCCCTCCATTAGTATTGGTTGTCTTAAAATTGAAATCTACAATTTTAATTGTATCTCATCTGGCTCTATTCACCAATTTTGAATACACATTCCAATTATTTGCCTTTAATGTGAAATCGAAGTATTTATATTTGACCATCCAGTACAGATGTAGTGAGTGAGCCCATTGGAATTGTACACTGTGCACTGAGATGTCTGCTAATTTAGGTTATGTTAACTACATTTGCAACTATATGTCAGCCACTGTCAGAATCTTAAGATTACAGTATTCTGAGTTGTGATGCCCTATGGATAGGTACCGGCATTCTGGAGGAACCCTGGTATCTCTGTCTTTTATGTAAAGGCTTCTACCCTGAAGATGGTAACAGCAGGTTTTTCCAAAATGTTTGTACCTACCTACAGGGCATCATATCCCAGAAGACCTTAATCTTAATATATTCTGCCATGAGAATCTGAATTGTCAAAAGTCAGACTGGTTTATTTAATTAAAAACAGGTATAGACAAGTACAGATGTTTTGTTCTTATTTCATGACATTTGTTTTGAAATTTATGAATCAGTTATATATACAGATTCTCTGAGCTGTCTCAATAGTATGCTAATGGGTTAAGGATTTGTAAGAAGTTCTTAAAGCGCTTCAGACTATACTGTTGCACTTAAACTGGGCTGTAGACCTGGGTTCTTGTGATTAATAATCCTGACATTTGTGCTTTGTATATTGCTTTAGGATAATTGCAAGAATCATCAATAATCTCATGCCAATTAGTGCAGTATAGTGTTTGGACACTAGTAAATATATTCTTGCCAGAGCACAGAACTGAGGGAAAAAAGAAAGAAAAGAAAATAGAAGGCTGTTGATGCACTGTGACTTGCCTTAAAATATTATATTTGTGTGTACCATGTGATAGTAATTGAAAACAATGAACTTCCTATTCCCTTTTACCCCAGTCATTTTGGTGTTTATTTTCTTGTCAGATCATACTGGGGGTGCAGTTTCTACCGAGCTGCTTAATCCCTCAGTGCCATGTGATATTTGACTCTTTGCCCACTAAGGTCCACTACAGAATTACGTGTTGCAAACACCAGAGCTACTGTGGGTTTTGTGTGCAGTTGCACAGAATTACTACCATACTTTCTGCAGATAACCTTCAAATAGCAAGAGAAATATTTCAATTGAAAGCTCATTATTTCTTTTGAACATCAGTATGTTATGCTTGATTCCACCTATTGACAGAAATGTTATACTGACTGAATAACTTTTGTCAGTGTCTTCAGCGATGATGGTTTTAACACATACCCCCAGTTGATCCAGTTGGTATGTGGCATGCAAAAGGTTGAAGGTCACTTACTTTTTTGGACAGAGGGTGGTGCTAAATTACTAAATTGAGCTATAGTTGCTGCTGCTCACTTTTATTCATGCAGTATCTGGTTAAAGTCAAAGCTGAGGCACTGACTGTCTTGTGTTCCTCGCTGTGCCCGTGGAGATCTTAGCATAGACCTCCTCACTCCTTTCATGTTCTAGATACACAGTCCTCTCATTTTATGTGATGCAGAAATAACATCCACACTTGATATGACATAACTGAATAAGAGTTCTGGATTCTGGGATATAACACCATGAAGTCCATTGAAAGTCAACTGATGTTGTGGAGGAACATGTCGCATCCAAAACATCGGTTGGCTTTCAATGGACTACACAGCATTACATACCACAAGATAGAATTTTCGTGACCACTGAAGTCAGAGCCTCAGATCATGTATAATTAAATGGCCTGTACCAGTGGTTTTATTTAGGAGAATTAACCCTTTGCAGTCCTCTGGCTGAAGGTTTCTAATGCTGCAGTTTTACCATACCGGTCAATTTTTAGAAACCTGCTGACACGTTATTACCATGTACTCATTGTTATATTTTTGCTGTTTATATTGTTTGACATTTATTCTAGTAGTTCATGTGTAGCAATAAGAGATGGCAGGAGTGTTATATTTTGCCACACTGTGTGTGAGTGATATTCAAAGGTAAAAGGATGGAAGAGGGTTCAAAACAAAGCCAACTTCTTGAATTCTGTTTCACATCTGGAAGAACTGAAAATCTGAATGTTATTTAAATAAATTAGACCTATGAATACATTTTAAATGCTAAATTTCTTTCATATGTGATGATGGTAGATTAGAGCCATTACACTTTCATCAGCCGCAGAACACACGCACTATAATCTTGCATTAGTGTACTGAGAATAAACTGAACCTCATGCTATACACTGTGATCTTCTGTGTTGCCTGGTAGATGGTTACTGTTTTGGAGAAAAATGTCGCCTCCATCTTCAGGGTTTCCTCAAGGCATGTTGGTACAGTACCTGCCTACTAAATTTGTTACAAAGAGTAGAGTTCTGTACAGGTACGCTAGTGATAGGACATATGCATCATTACAACATTAGAAGTCTGTGGTAACATCACTAGGCTTGACTACGCAAGCACACATTTTAGGGTTTCCCCCCACACCCCTTCATTCCTTTGTAGATACTGGAATGAGTGAGGGTGTATGGCAAATTTTGGAGAGGATGGGGTCAAGCTGATGTGAATTGGAGTGCAAAGAGGCAAAGAGGGGCAGAGTACAGTTTGAGTGAATATGATTTCCATTTCTTTTCAAAATTGTCCTGTCCAATATTATGTGATGTATTTTATATAAGTCATTAAATGTAAATCAATAGAGAATCACCCTCTTACAACATTAATGGTTTCCCAGCTCTTGGGATATATTTAATGGTTGGGCTCCTAGTTGAAGCAGTGAAGAAGTGTTTCATAACAAATTCAGGTGACATAATCCAGAAAGCCACCGTAAATCTCATGATGTGTATTGCACCTTTGCCTGCATTAGGTACACTGCACTGCATCTAGAAGCAGCAGACAAAAAAATAAGAATTACTTATATCAGAATTGAACTGCATCCATAATATACAATCTAGTTGACAAATTTCTTTGGAGTAATGAGCAGCATGATGAATGCAATCCTGTTATTTTGTATTCAGAGAAAGCCCTCCTACGGTAGAGATTTTCACTGTCCTTCAATGAAGAGATGGTGAGGCAGTAACCAAGACCTGTCAGTGTGTAATGTGTAAGCTCAAAACATTGTCATGATTTTGGAGAACTCTTACAATTACTCTTGGTACCTTGAAGTAGTTGGTTGAGGGGCTATGCTACAAGCCAGAAGGTTGCAGGTTCAAGTCTCGATGAGGTCATTGGATTTTTTTCAGTTGACCTAATCCTTCCAGCCGCACTATGGCCGTGGGGTTCACTCAGCCTCTAAGAGAAATGAGTACCAGGAATTAATTAAATAATTTTCCTAGGGAGCAAAGCGCGGCCGGCGCGTAAGGCTGACAACCTTACCACCGTCTTTGAGCCAATTGTCTAGATAATGTAGGACCCTCAACGTCTCACAACCCTATGGGCCTTCACGGCCTGGTACAGGGATAGCTTTACTTTACTTTACGTTGAAGTTTAATGTGACCCTAAATGAACAGTAGAATAATCAAGATAAGTACTATCCTCTACTTGCCTCACACCCTCATCATTGGAGGGTAATATGTGTAGAATTTCAGTGTGTCACACAGTTAATAGAGCCTGTAGTGGCTTTTACAAATATGAAATGCAGAAGAACATAATGTTAATATTCAGAGATGAAAAATGTTGACTGCTGGTCTTCTGTTCAGTATAACGATCCTGAAGATTGCCTGAAATGACTGGCTGGAATATGGACGGAGATGTCGCATTATGAAAAGTCAACCTGTGATTTTTCGGACCAGTAAAGGGGGACTAAAGATGAATAACACAAAACTCTGTACTGCCAGTTATATTTCATACTTCAAGTGCAGTATCCTAGTCATTTTAGAGGAAACTGCAATTTTTCCCATAGCCCCTCATCACCGTTTATGCACAGTATGTGCAATTGGTTACTGGCAGTGACATGGCACTATACAGTTCATTAGTGTAGCAAGGAAACACATAAGGTGAGAATTAACTAGTGTTCATCATAAATCCTGAAGAAAAGTGTCCACTTGGAAGGCCTGGGCCCAAATGGGAGGGTATTGTTAAAATGAACCTTAATGCATTTACTGCCATGCCTCTAA